GATGCTACGTTTGTCACACCCAAGATGGGCGCAACAGAAGGTCGAGCAGATTGTGAGGGTGGAGGGAGGTGCGGAACAGGAACATCTACCTCATTGTCATTAAGAATTGCTGAGGGTTGGGGCAAGTTTGGGATCAATTGTTGATTTACAAGAGGGACTGAAATGGCCGTTGATAGATCCGAAGGCGGCCAAATTGCATAGTCGCATTTTGTCAAACACTTGGTCCACGTTAAATTAATGCAGGAGAGTGTTCATCTGCTGTTTGTATAGGACTCTTAGATCCTTGTTTAGAGCATTCAACCATGGCATGCCCTTGCGTATGGCAACCAGTGCAATACTTTGGGAGATTTTCATATATCAGTGGTTGCCGAAACCCATTATATAGCCCAATACAAATATGATCAAGGAGAGTTTTCTGCAAATCCACTTCATCTTTGCCACACTAGGTTGAGCCAATGTAGCTGTTGGTTTGTCAAGACAAAGGAACCTGCCAGTTTTTTTTGCAACAGATTCCAGGAATTCAGGAATGAAACATTAGAGAGGGAGTTTGGGGAGGGCCACCCATACAGGGACATGGCGCGCATCCTCTTTCATATGGTAGAGATTATGCCATCTAAAATTTTTATAGGAGAATTTTTTGATCTTGTTTGGGGGTCGAGTCAAGACTCTAAGCAGATCTCCATTATCCTGAAAGCGAAGCAAGAAAGCTCTTGAGGAGAATAGACCGATGGTGAATGGTTGGGTCATGCCTCATGATTTGATTTCAGATTGGCTCTCTTCAAGGGAGGGTCTATCTCCATTAAATTTCATAACGAGGGCATTGGAATATATGCTTTCTATTATTGGCAGCTCCGAGTTGAGGAAATTGAAAAACTCTTCATTACGGGAGCTACAAACCACTTTAGCCTCCACATGAGGAATACGAGCAAAACCTTCAGCATGAGATCGCACAAAGCCAAGCTTTCTAGATGAACGGGCAATCTGCGCATAAGTGCACTACTCAGGGAGCCGACGACCACTTGATAAGGGAAAGAGGGATGATTAACAGAGGAGTCAAGGGTTGACGATGACCTCTTAGAGAGGAGGGTTTTGATGGGCATGAAGAGACGGTAGCGGATTAGACGTGGGAGTAGCATGATCACCATTAGGATCGGGATCAGAGGGGAGGATGGCCAGGTTGGGGCCTGAGCAGGGAAGCCCAATGGAGGGTGAAGAGGGTGGGTAGGTGGATGTGACGAAGATGATGGCTGAGAAAGAGGAGGAAAAGGTTTAGATATGGGGTTAGATAAAAAAACCAGACTGGTATCGTTGGTTTGGGAAGGTGGTATGAGAATTTTTTAATAATATCTGAGGATTAGTGGACGAGCCATTTGAGATGGAGGGGCAGTAGATATGAGAGTTGACAGGTGGAGGGGTGGATGGATCTAATGGCAGGGGAGGATGGTCGGCTAGATCTGGA